ACCACCACACGAGCGGGACACGGGAACTATCGCCTCAGCCTGGTCGCAGCGGAGGTGTGCCGAGTGAAAGCGAAAGGATAAAGCGTGTGTTCGAGGGCGTATTGGGAAAGATTATAAGTTTGCCACAAAAAATATATAAGTAGATGTGCTGTGAAGAGTAAAATAAAGAGAAAGAGAGAAAGCCAACACTTAAGAGATCAGAAGTGGTGTTCAAAATCTTTTATCTCATACGTGGAATACCTCAGAAAGAAAATACCACCATAATGTCAAGTGAACTTTAATACCCTTTATTTAAATGTTGGGTTGTGAAGCTAACGGAACCACCCGCCTTTAAAAAAAAAAAAAATAACCCCCCAACCAAGCTATAAATCTCCGACAAACCTTCCCAACACCACCATGGGCGTGAGAAGATCGTGGGCGTCGAGGGGCGGGTGGACGACGTTCCTAGTCCTCCTGGTCGTGGGCGCACCTGCCTCGAGGGCGCTGAGCAGGAGGTCGGCAGCAGCTGACCCCACGCCCGTCGCCAAGCCCAACCTCGCCGCCCTCAGCGGACTGGGCGGCCTCAGCGCGCTAGCAGGTGAGTGCGAGTGAAGCATTGGGCGGGGAGAGGGGCGTAGGGCATGGGGAGGAGGGGGCGAGGGAAGTAGGGGCAAGGGAGGAAGGGAAAAGGGAGAAGGGCAAGGGAGGAAGGGAAAAAGGAGAAAGGCAAGGGAGGAAGGGAAAGAGGAAGGGCAAGGGAGAAGGAAAAGGAGAAAGGCAAGGAGGAAGGGAAAAAGGAGGAAAGGGGCAAGGGAGGAAGGGGAAAAGTTGGAAGGGGCAAGGGAGGAAGGGGAAAAGTTGGAAGGGGCAAGGGTTGGAAGGGGGAAGGGAGAAAGAGCAATGGAGAGGGGCATAGGGCATTGGGAAGAAGGGGCAAGGGAAGAGGAGGAAAGGGAAGGAAGGTGCAAGGGACGAATGGAGGGAAGAAGAGTCAGGGAAGGAGGACAGAAGGATCTGGAAAGAAGAAGGGAAGGAGAGAAGCGTAAAGCATTGGGAGGAAGGGACAAGGGACGAAGAGGCTAGAAAAGGAAGGAGGAAGAGGCAGGGACGGAGGGAAGGAGAGCCAGAGTCTGAAAAATAATCCGAAAGATCTTAGGGAATATATATATAAAAAAAAAACATTCAAGTTACAGGTTGATTTGGAATGGAAATCTTACATACTTTAGAGAAACAGAAGAGAATATACTATCTTAGTATATATAATATATATATTATTATATATATTATATATATATATATATATATATATATATATATATATATAAGTTGCCAATGGATGTATTATAATCAGTCTCCAGCTTTTAAGAAAATATAAAAGATATCACAAGAAGAAAATAAATTTATTGCTTATAAATTAGATTCAGAACAGATCAGCCTTCAGATCTGAAACCAAAAGAAGAAGAGACCGAACTGCCGGAGATGAATTATGAATCAGATGAAGAATGAATGACCTTCGTAGCTCTAAGAGAAGGTCTTGGAAGAAGGATAGAGACGAAAATGAATGAATGAACATGAATAACACATGCAGAGTTCCTCCTGTTGGTGAAGGTCAGTATGCTATGGAATTCCGGATGAAAAGAGGATGAGAGAAGAGAAAAAAAAATCCTTCGAAAATGTGTATATTAGACTGTTCGTTGTACAATACAGGGCATGTATATGAGAAGAAGAAAAAAAGTGGTTAGAGAAAATTAAAGATTACACAACTGGTCCGCTAATAAGAGCAGATGCCAACACGAATCTTGTTTTTTTTTCTTGCGAACGGGAGACAAGTAGCAAGTGATAAATCTATAAATAGAGAAGGTTACATAATACAGACGATAGAGAAAGGGGGGCAAAGGCAGAAAGGAATAACTGTATGTTGAGGGAAAAGGAATAATAGAATGGGTGATAAAAGAGAATTGGAATGGTCCGTTAAACGCAATAAAGGACGTATATAAAGGGAAGGAAATAAAGATTATGCAAGGAAAATATCAAAGGGTAAAGAGAAGCAGGGTGAAGGGAGAGAAAAGAGAGAGAAAAGAGGAAAGAGAGATAAAGAATGATCTAGAAACGAAAGGATCGAGAGAGGAGGAAGAGAGAGAGAAGAGAGAGGAGAGAGAGAGATAGAGAGAGAGAGAGAGAGAGAGAGGAGAGAGAGAGAGAGAGAGAGAGAGAGAGAGAGAGAGAGAGAGGGGAGAGAGAGAGAGAGAGAGAGAGAGAGAGAGAGAGAGAGAGAGAGAGAGAGAGAGAGAGGAGAGAGAGAGAGAGAGAGAGAGAGAGA